GCAAAAGGCTAGGAATTTTCTGTCTAGAAAAGGGAAGGCTGAAGGGAAATATGATAGCAATGCATGGAAAAGATGAAGAGGGAATGAATATTTTAGAGTTTGTGATTCAAGTATTAGTTAGCTTTCAATAAATCAGGGCTATAAAATGAAATTATGAAGACAATTAAAAAGAGGAGATTTTTCTTTGTATAATGAAACTGGAGAGCTCTGCCTCAATGCATTGCAAAGGTCAATGTTTACAATGTTTACATGGATTTCATAGATGAAAAAGAGCTGTTAATCACAAAGATATTACCTCAAACCCCAGAATTTATAAACAGAGATCACTAGATGATCTTCAAGGCCCTTCCAACCCAAACCATTCTATGATTCTATGAATTTCTTGCATCACAGAGCAATTGTGACTGATTGACTATATGGAGAAGGACAAATATGTTTGCTTTCTTACAATCTTTCTTAGGCATTTGCTGTTGCCCACTGTCAGAATAGTAGGATGCTGAGTGAGGCTATCAGTAGGCAAGTGAAGCCTTTTCCCTAATAAAAATTTCTAAAGGGGTGCACTTGGAGCTCTAAACTGTAACAAATGTAATGAGAATATTAACTGCAGTTTTAGTGATCTTTGACACAGTTGTTGGTGTGCTTACGCTCTGGTACGTCTACGACTGCAGACCCTTAGATCAGGTCCTGGGGGAGCGGTAAGAGAGGAGGCACCATGCAGATGTGAAACTTTAATGAGGGGGAAGTTAAAGGAGAATTATGGGACTGCTAGGGTATTGAGTCATCTCTGCTCTTACTGACATTTTGCAAGGTAATATTCAAAGATGAATCATTAAGCTGCTCTGTCTTGGAGACACCAGCAACAGAAAACTCAGCTGTTGCTTTTTCCTTTGGTTTGTTGTATTCGTATGTGTCAAGATTCTGGAAAGCTGACAGTAAAGTTCCTGTCTAAAGACTCCAAGGGTTGGCACCTTCTATAACACAGATAAATATTTTTATGGACTCCTAATGCAGTACATTTGTCAGACATCCAGTGTCTTAAGTAGCAAAGTAATAAAACACATTACATGCACGTAGCAACTTTCCAGCTAGTTTTTGAAGAAATCTGATTTGACTTCTGCTGCACTGATTTCTACTTTTCTGCCTATTAGAAAAATTGCTTACCACTTACACCTGCTCTCACATCAGGAAGTTTTTTCCCTGTTTTAATTTCTTTGCATAGGAACAGGAAACAGTTTCATTTCAAAATGCCTTGCATATGGTTATATGGAGTAAAGATATATTTCTCAAAGGAGCTCGATGGAGGGAATTAGATAACTCAGATGAATATTTGTCACACAGATGTTGATCACAGGTATGATCTCTAAATAGCTTATCTTCCCCCTCTCCTCTTTTCATTACCTCCTGTAAAATGTATGCTACAATTAATTTTTAACAGCTAATATGCAACCATGCCTGGAATTTGAAACCCATCTGCAAGGTACTGCTACCAAACTAGATAGTACAGTGAAAAATGGAAGAGAAACCAAGATCTCTGCATTTGATTTCCACTAATGCCAGAGGCTGTTTGTGCTTTGCAAGTACAGAGCTCTTCATGGTACCATTTATCAAGTATATGTAACTGCTCCCTCTTTTTAACTTTATAATTTTGATGCAGATTTTGTGATTTCCTGGGGAAATCAATGTCAAAATTGAAATTAAATTCGTTCTGTTTTGTTTTCCTCCTTTAATATAGGTCATCAATATAAATTCTGATGAAATACATCAATAATTCATCACTCTTCACCTCCAATAGGAAATGAAAGAGAGCTCCAGGAGGGAAAGATATCACTGGATTCAGACTTATATTTTGTGCCAAGAGAACATGTCTGTCTATCTTGGACCTACATCTGTAAACAGTTATGAAAATGCTGCATGCACCTCAATAATACAGTTAATACAGGTATTAGTCACAAAGCAAAACATACTGTCATATAAATGAATAATCAATTCACTTAGCAGCTCTCCTTTTTTCAAACACATTTTAGGTTTTGGAAGCCTGAGGCTTCTATTGCAGAACTATTCTATTTACCTGCTCATGTTTATTTGAGCGACTGTGGGGTTATCACTTAAAGTAAGAAAGCTCTTTTAAAATGCAGTTTCCTACTCTGCTGGTAGTCTCTGGCACCTGCACCTGAAGTCTGGAAAACAAAGTCTGTGGATGAATTGAACAGGGTTTAACTTGGTCTGTTCAAACTTGCACTCTTTTACCAAGTGATAGGAGTAATCTCCACTGATTTCTAACGATGCTTGTCTGTTGTTCCACATCTCAGGTAGATGGAGTTGTAATATTATTGCAGTATGGTGGTCTCCAGAAGGTTTCCCTTAGCTTATAATTGGCTCTATTGTAGAGTTACTGGCAATAGCAAATAGCTCATCAGCTTGATTTTCTGAAATATCTTTTTAAAACCCACTTCTTTGTATAGACGAAGATCTTGAGAACTGAAGTTCTGCAGATGTTCTGGTTGAGCCCATTCTGTGCTTCTGCTGAAATACTGCTTTCCTAGAAAAGCCTCAGGAATGGGATTTTCAATGCTGTAAATTTTTTCAGCTTGACACAGTGACAAATTTGTAAGACTTCCTCAGGGTCTGTGGAAGGATCTGAACACTTGTTTACTTTTAGTTTACTTTGCTTTACTTTAAAATGATTTTTCTTGATGGTAGTTATGTCTGTTCATCTGACTTTTGGGATCATAATTGTGAATTAGAACGAACGAATAAAAAACACTGGAATTTAACAAACTGCTTCGTGTTTCCTCAGGTCCGTATTCTTGTTAGTCTGTGAATCAATATACTGAACTTATATGCAAATACTTATGTAAAGACAGAACTAATGTATCCAGAGCAGTTTTTGCCACATTTATCTTTGCTATTATTTTATTTTTTATGGATATATTTCCAACTATGAAAATTATATTTTCCTTTTATGATTTGATGTAATTTGTCAGTCTCTTGGATAGGGCTGAGAAATTACAGTGTGTGTGCATGTCAGAAACTTCCAGCTTTCCTTCCAAATATAAAATCAATATTTTTTACGTATTTTGTTAGATTATGATATTTTAAAGCCTCTAGTCTAAATTTCCATGCAGTCCAGGGCAAATTTAGAAGTATATGGGAATTGCTTAGGGCCTAGGCTAGCTGAGTTTTGAATATACCCAATGGTGGAGATACCACAGCTTCTCTGGGCCCCTAATCCAGTGCCTGATCATCATTTGTGCGAATTATGTTTCGCCACTCATGCAGGCAGAATTTCTCTTGCTTAAACTTTTCACTGTTTTCCCTTGTTCTTTTCTTGGGAAAATATGTCTACTAATAATGCCATCTCGGAATTTAAATATACTTGCCAAATCCTGTATTTCACTTCTCACCACATGTGGTAAAACAACCTTGAAATGCTTACAGAACAACTGATGAAATAATGACTCCACTATTTTTTATTTATATGTGGGGTGCTGCATTTGTAATACTTATTTAACTTGAATTATTCAAACATGGTTAACATTACGAGTCAACTTTTCTAATCATTACATTATATACATCCCACCACTGTATTTTCTTCCTTTAATGTCTAAAGTAAATCTGCTTTTAGAATATGTACTCCATTGGATTTCTGATATGTAACAATTCGGGTCTTGCAAACTAGTTTTTCCAGCCCACACGTGCTTGTATTTGTGGATTAAATTGTCCATTGCAAACACAAGAGAAGGGCAAGCACTGAAAATCTTCTTTTGTTTGTTGCAAAAGCAGATCATAAGTACACAGCTCTGCTGTACCATTGTGAAAAGAAATAAGGTTACAATCAGCTTGGAGAAGAAAATGCTCAGGAGTTTTCTGTTTACTTTTTGGTGCAAATTCTCTGAGTTTCAACCCTCCCCTGCATCCTTTCTCTAGAGAAGTTAATTTTCAGGTAGTGAGAGGTGGGAAACCTCTGCAGTTTCCCACAGCTCTATCCCTCCAGTAAAAATCCAATCATGCCCTGTCTCAGACAAGTCCAAACTCAGATCCAAGTCTCATGACTATTCAGAACTGATGTAATTACTTATGTCCTTGTCATAGTTGAGCCACATGAGCAGATTTTACCATAGGGTGGCTGGCTTAGCTTAAATTGCTTTCACTTGTTCTCCTTGAGCTGAAAATAACTTATTTAACAACTGTGTTAGTGAGAGCAAGATGTACAATTCCTAACAAAAAAAGGCCTTTACTATACTCACAATGAATATCACAAGCAGTATACCAATAGCGACCGCTCCTCCTTGAGAGACAGATTGTTGTTTTTTACTTAAAGTGAGACTGCATAAGGATGATAATGTGGGAATGTAAAAACACATTAGAATTTCACTTAATATCTTTTACTTCATAAATACTGATGAAAACAGTGAGACCTATATGCAGTAATCAGTTGTGTCGACCTGGGAAAGAATTCTTTCACAACCATAAAAGTTCTCCCTCAATTTTTCCCCCAAGTAAAAGACAGAGAGTTCCTGATGACAAGTAAATTACTGGGGAACGTTACACTTTTTCTGAGAAAGTTGCAGAATATAAATGGGAATATAAATTAGAACAAAAGCTTTTAATTTTATAACAAATATTAAATATTAAATACTGCCAATTAACTATCATAACCATCATCATGTTTTGATTATGAAAAAATAAGATGGTATAAATCTTAGCTAATCCTTGACATCCACCGAAACAGCTTAATTTTTACCATTCCCTCAGGAGAGAAAAAAAAAGGAATATAGAAAAAGGTTTTCACTCAATGGCATGGAATTAAATCACTGCGCCTTATGTAACTGTGAAAGAAAATGGACCACTGACTCATGAGTTTTGAAAAGCTGTCCTTGTTGCTGACTGGAGTAAGATTTGTTGTTTTCTTTGGTAGCTGCTTAGGCTTCTTTTATGTCTTAGCCCTCCATTATGGATGACAGTGTAGTCACCTATTTTTTCTATTTGTTTTCCAGCAGCACCTGCAAGTCCCAGGCACAGGGCAGAGTACAAAGGGTCACGTTTGACTGGGAAACTGAACTGGATTCTACTCCTGCTAAACTCCGTGAATGTTTGTGGGCAAGAGAGCTTCACTGAGAACTTAACTGTTTAAATAAATGGGACAAATGGGGAGCAGAGCTTATCTCAGAGGTTTGGAGTTTATTCCTTGTTTTGTTTTAACCTATTGTGGAACACTTCTATTTCTTGCTTAATTTAAAGTCACCTGGAGCCTTTACCTTGATTTGAATAGAAGATAAATCCCACACTTCATTTTTATTATTTCAGTTCATATATTTTATTAAATGAGGATAATAATCAGCAGTGTTAGAACCTGTAGGATTTGTAAATCAAGTTCTTGGAGTAACTGCAATATTAACATGATCTGTCAAAACTAACCCTTGAAATCTCTTGTTATTTCCTCGTAACGTTGTTACCAGCTATGCCTATTCGCTGTGTCTCAAACTGAAGTTTTAACTAGCAGTTTTACCCTTTGCACTTCTTTCCCTTAGCCAATTTTGTGTGATGTATTCATATTATAAAAAAAATCACATCAGATTATTTGAATTTATTTCCCTTGGATGCCATAGCAGTAATGAGGTTAAATAATTGATAAATTCCTAATTAAAAAAGTATCAGCATCTTTTACTAATATTTTCTCAGTGTTGATCAGAGATCCCATTGTTTCTATTTACCTGGCATATTTAATGCAATCCTTTATTATTTGCAGTCATTGGTTCCTTTCATAGTAATGTCAGTATATGTGCAAATAAATTAAATACTTTCCAGCCAGGTAAGTCATGTCATCTCTCACTGGTAATCTTCACTTGAATTCCATTCACCAAAATAGTGTGTCATACCTTGTTATTGGTTGGGAGCTGCCTTTTGTCTGCTTGCATTTCTGAGGACAAGTGTCTCCCTCCTGTCAAATGAGAGCTACAAGGTGCTCCCCCCTTTCTGGGCCGTGGTGGGAGAAGGAGGTGGCCAGAGAGACAGGAACAGAGTGAGGTGAGAATCTGCGGGACCACTGGGTGAGAGGCAACTGAGATCAACCCTGCAGCTTATAGTTCTACTGGGAGCCATATTTCATGTGGGCTGTGCCTGTACAGAGCTGAGAGCCAGGTGGTGTGGTACAAATCCAATGACAGAAACAGAATTTCCCACCTTCTAGAATGGAGGCTGGAAGGACAGGTACATGCCTGAACCTAGATACTCATCTCCCTGACAGTCAAAATGTGTTAAAACTGCCCCTTCGCCTGCCACTGAGAGTGGAGCTAGGAGAACGCTGTAGATGCTGAGCTGGTCTGTCATCTGTCATGGTTTAAGCCCAGCCAGTAACACAGAACCACGCTGCCGCTCTCTCACTCCCCTCTCTTCCCTGCACTGCTCCCGGAGGGATGGGGAGGAGAATCAAAACAATGTAACTCCCACGGGTTGAGATAAGAGCAGTCCAGTAACTAAGGTATAATACAAACCACTACTGCTACCACCAATAATAATAATGATAAGGGAAATAACAAGGGAAGAGAATACAGCTGCTCACCCGTAGACCAATACCCAGCCGGACCTGGGCAGAGATCCAGCCCTTCCCGGTAACTGCCCCCAGTTTTACATCCTGGGCATGACATGCTGTGGTATGGAATACCTCTTTGGTTAGTTTGGGTCAGGTGTCCTGTCTCTGCTTCCTCCCAGCTTCTCCTCTTCCCTGGCAGAGCAGTCCTTGGTCAGACTAAACATGACTGAGCAACAACTAAAAACATCAGTGTTACCAGGGCTGTTCTCAGGCTGAAAGTCAAAACCACAGCACTGCACCAGCTACTAAGAAGGAGAAAAATGACTGCTACTGCTGAACCCAGGACACATCCGAGGTGGAAAGCTAGCTCTGACATCGAGCAGTTGTGAAAACTGAATAAACCACTCGTTATCTTCTTGTAACCATAAATCAGGTGGAAACTGCTTCACTGAGCAGTCAGGGCCCCTCTATGGAAACCAAGTATTGTCCTTACATTTGTGAGATGAGTAGGACAATATATGTGTACATTTGACTACATGCTCCCATTTCTTTGTATAAAGATTTATGTAGAGATTGTAGGGCATTATGATTTCCAAAGGTCCCTTCCAACCCTATTGACCCTGGAATTATCACCATTTTTTTAATATAGTTGAGGTTAAAAACTTTGAAGACAGCATTTCCCTTCTGTGACAGTTACTGCATATTCTGGTGGAAAATCTTCCTAAATCAACAATGAGGTGACAAAAAGATCAAAAGTGTTTGGCTTTCTGTCTATTAGACTGCCCCAAAGCAGCACTGGTAAAATATTTGAAGGATTTGCTGTCTACTTGCAGTGCCATTTATATTCACTAGTTTCAATAAGTAAAGTAGCTGTCTCCAAGCAGTGTACGCAATAAACAGCAATGGATTTTCTCCCTGTAACATCTCTTAGTGTCTCCATCACCACATTGTAAGTGAAAACCAGTGAAAAGAGTCACAGACTTAGGAAAATGCAGAATGATGAACAGTTGGAGAAAAATTATTTTTTATTTCAGAAAAGGGCAAAACAAGTTTTTAGTGTTTTAAATTTGAGAATAATTGATCTTAAATATGACACATCATATTTATTCAAAACTTAAATCATACCTAATCCTTAGAATAATTTTGCAATGGTAAGTGATCAGTTAGGATTTCCAAATTTTTCCTCATGTATCATACGAAAAATGGATTTGAAGGATTTGGACCAACCTCAGTCAAACTACTGTTTTTGTTAGACTTGTTTAAAAAAAACAAAACCAAAAAAACCCCACCAAATAATTCAACAAATCTGAATAGATGTAATATCCAAGGTTTTCTCTGAAAAGAGTTGGGAAGTATAAACATGAGATCCTAGTACAATCATTTAAGAAAGGTTTCAAATAGATTAGTGGAGTCCTTAGGCTGCGGAATCCATGATGCTTAAGGGAAAATACTTACTCATCTTCTTAACAACTGCAAGAACCACTGAAAAGGCTGGGGTTTGACAATAAAAAGCACAGCACTTAATCTGGCATCTCTTCTTTTGACCTCCTCCTGTTAATAGTAGTCCTTCCAATTTAAATAGGGTCATATCTCTCATATTCTTCAATTTCTGATTCAGAACTAGAAGCTAATGCCCTTTTCCTCAGCTTGGCTATTTGACCATTTTCTGTTTGCTGATTTTATCTCACATTTAAGAAAATACTGTATCTGATTGCAAAATATTTTATAAGCTGTCCATATGGTGGATACCAGAGCATCAAAACCTGAAATGAGTAGTTGTTTAACAGTAGATCAAACCTTGGTGCTCCTTTCTTCACTCATGGTGCAGTATATGGTTTAAAACATGAGTAAGCATTATGATGTGAGGTATTTTTGTCCAAAGATGACAGCAAGATCTAGGTTGTCCTGTGTCCTGAATAAACACTGATAAAGACTTAAAGGTTATCTTCTGACAAAATCCATCAGCAAGATTTACAACAGAGGAGAGGATAAGGAAACAGAGATAACTATGTTCTATGAAAAACAAGATGTGCCACTGTGTTCCAGTTTTTCAATTCTGTGCCGTTGGGCAGTCTGTAGCAGAGCACCAGAGCTCAGGGCCGGGCTGGTCCCCCTGCATCAGGTCAGCCTGAACTCTGCTGACAGAACAGCAAGACCGCTTCTCTTCCACATTTGTTTGGTTTTTCTTTAAGAGCAGAGATGTGTAAAAGTGTTTCAGCTTTCAAGACTTCTCCCTTGAAACTGGGTAGAAAAGACTGCCCGAGGAATAGCAATTGTTGTTGCTATGACATTTGAAATTAATACCAGTGCATATTTGCTTAATGTTTTCAGCACTAATTTCCCATGTAGACAAATCATCACAGATCACTTCAGTAAACTTTCCTGTCACTGTTGCTTTCAGCTTAGGACATTCTTAGCTTTAGCATCCTGACCATAAATCCTCAGTAGGATAATATGGTTTCATCCAAGAATGAAATGTGCTGGAACAGAGAATTGAGTTGGCTGTATTTAGACAAGGAAATCTTGACAATGAAAAGGTGAATATTTTGACTGCTGGAAGACAGGGAATAAAGCAAAGAGTATGAAAGACTAGGAGACAAGATATGTTGGCTTGGATCTGAAGGAAAGGGAGAAACAGAGGCAAATGGTAATGGCAAAGTTATTAAGTTGAGGTAGAGGTAGCTAGGGAATATTATCAGCAAAAAAGGTGAATGAAAATAAGAGAAAAAGCATTCTGTCCCTTTTTAGGCCTGCTTAATTGGAACTACCATAAAGATGATGCCCACTGCATGGAGAAGACTCTGAGACATTTATAGTTGTCCAAGGAGCCAAAGGAGACTAATGAGTAATGAATACTATTCAAAATCCTCTAATTACATAGCAGGTTGCTACCTTGGAAGAAAAACAAGCTAATATAAATGCAAAAGGACTGGAAACAGCCCTTCTCCAAATAATTCACTTGATTCAGCAAGCTGTCAGCTGCACTATTTCATTTTCTCTCTTCTTAATCCTCCTTCTCTCTGCCGAATGCCTTCCTATGCAGCAGCTCTTCTAAGCTAAGGGTTTTGTTAGTCCTCTGGCTTCTCTCAACCTGTACTACTACATGTAATGGTGCCACATATTTATAGGAACTTCAGAGTTATCTGAAACCTCCAAATCAGTAGTAAGTCTGGATTAGAGCTGGTTATTTTCAGTGAGATTTTGGTGGATTTTAATTCTGTGTAGAGCTGGGCACCAGTTAAGAGGAGACAGCAATCTGGTGAAAGAAAAGGAACTGAAGCAAATGTTCTGGGACACAGATGCAAGAGGGCTTTTTTTAATTTATCATTTTTTAGACCTTGATTTCCCAGTGGCTTGAATTTACAGCATTTCAGTTCCAGGAACTTTATCAGGGAAGCAAACATCTTGGTCTTTTCATCTTCGAGGCTCTGAGGAAAGGCTGTACAGCCCTGCTGTGCTCTCCTGCCCATCTCCCGAGAATCACAGCTACGTGCCCCTTACCAGTACCTTCCAAGTTGCCAGGAATGTAACTTTCAGTAACTCAAATTTGTACTTACATGAAGGCTCTATATTCACCTTTTGTAAAGACTTTCTGTAGAATTCTGTCCAAAAGATTTATTTTTCCTTTTCACCAAAATCTCTACACTGGATTTTATATTTTCTCTTGAATGCTTTTATTTCTGAATGTAAGGATGCCTTATTAACCACAGTGCAATAAAGAAAAGGAAATGATAAAGTTATTTTCACCATGGCTTCAAAAAAGTGTGTGTCTTTAAAATACAAGGTGATATAATTTAAACTCAGTTATAATTTTTCGGCTTTGTGGTATGCAGTTCTCTGTAAAGAGTAATGATCAGTTACTATGGAAACAGATGTATGCACATACACTCACCTGCACACATAAAATGCTAAAAAAGTTCCAGAGAAGGCCTAAGCATCTATTGGAAATGTTGTGTATATCTGTCCCTATGGCTAAAAGGAGATCTGTGTGACTGCTGTAGTGGAAGAACAACTGCTGTGTATGAAAGATGATACTGTCACAAAACCAAGTGTGCATAAATCAGACACATTAAAGTCAGAAGCCTCCTTCTGATGTTAGAGAAGCTTGGTTTTGGAGCAGATGTCCAAGGGTAATGACAGCAACAATTTGCACTAGGTTTAGGATAGAACCATGATTGGATTTCCTGGTGTGACTGACCACAGTAGCAGAGTTGGCAGTTCTCTAGCAGCTTACAAAGACCCTTTGGCTATTTACATGCATATCTTCAAGGGTATTTTTGCTTAGCCTTGCCTTTTGGTTTTGTCTGTGCTGCTGTAAGCCATAACATCCAAAACACTCCCTCTTACTGCCAATAGCTACCTGACTGACAGTTCTTGAAAACCCTTTAGTGGCCAATAGCTGACTGTCCAGCTGAAACTCAAGAATCAGTGAAGAGGGTTATCTGCCTTGAAAACCAACAAACATGTCAGAGATCTGAAAGGAACAACTGCAAATGCACAGGGTAAAGCTTTAACAGGAGAGAGTTGGAAAGGAGAACCTGGGGAGATGGGAGAATGAGGAAGGCGAGACAGAAGAGTAGGAGAGGCAACAGTAGGGCACCTCCAGGCATAAATAAAATCCCACAAGTCCAAAATTCAGGTTGGGAGCTCGTAAGATACACAGATCCTAGAGCTTGCCAAGTCCTGAAGCTCATGCAATCATGAACGTAGAAATGCATAGGAAGTTACAGGTATATAAACTCTACCCAAATAATGCTGTTCGAGACAGGGAATGTTGTTTGTGAGGCACTAAGCAGTACTTTTGTTGTTGTTATTTATTATTTTATATACCCAGTGCTTTTGAATACATGCCAGAGCACTTCTGTTTGTTTGTGTATTTAATATGTATTCCACATCAATATGTGGAAGGGATTATCATAAGTGGGAAAATTAGGTCTGAATGATGCTGCTTATTTTACGATGAGTAAATTGGGCTTTTCTTTTGGAAGGTCACAATGCTAAGATGACTTTTATGTCAGCAAATGTCAGATCAGATTGAACTAGGACTCTAGTATTTTTTCACTTGCTGAATACTGTATGCAGTGTTAAAATCCAAGAGTAATTGACATCTAATTATTGTCAGTGCAATTATGGGCATCTCTGGTGTAACTCGGCTCTTGAAGTTAGAACACTGCTGGAAATGGGACACTTTGTTCTGGAGAAAGTTCTGTAATGATGCAACTGAGTAAAATTATTGACATACTTAAACTCTTCAGGTAGCTTTGCTGGGTTGCCCCTGCAGCCGATTTATAGGTTCAGTTGACAGAGGACAGACAGTACTTGGAAATGTGCATCTGTCATATACAATCAGGGAGAAAATTTTGTACTGATATTTTCTCATTTCAATTACAAGGTTTGTGAGAAGTGCCCTTTCCTTCTGAGAGAGAATATGGGACTTGGAGAAGAAAAGACCACAAGTCAAGGGCCTTGGGAAGTCAGTGAGGGGATATATACCTAGACTAAAAGCTCCAATTGCAGCATTACTGTCTAATCAACTGAACAATTTTGTTGAGCAAGAATACAGACCTTTATGTTTCCAGCAGATGGAAGTTTGAAAACACATACACCAGTTGTTTATCTTTTGTACATGTGGATTGTCTGTTATTACCATTTAAGCCTGGTCACTGTCACCTTGCCTGGACTGTTTTGTCTAAGCTTTTGCATAGTGCTGCAACAGTGGAGACAGTGCTGGGTATGTTGTATATAACAGGTCATGCAGTGTGCTTCATGAATGTGCTTCATGTTTCTTTATTGGGATGCTAAATTGCTAGTCTCTTTAACACCTGGGTAAATTTGCTCTTTTCTTGTCAAGATTTGCAGAAAGGAGTTTCTAAAGCTGTATTAGCCACTGTATTTCAGAGGGGCTTGTCCTATACCATCACCAGCATCAAAGCACAAGAAAAGCAAGCTGCTTAGCAAAAAAATTAGTTTTGCTTTATTTCATGAACCTGATCTTTACTTCTGGATGCCTATTTGTGCTAGTTTTGTGTGGGATAGACACTGTTAAAGGCTTTTGAATGGTATATGTAGTAGTCATCAGTCTGTTTACCAAGAATCTATAGAATTACAGAATTGATTATATACTGGTTGTGGATCTGAGAAAAATCAGTTTTATCAGTAGGATCCTTCACTCTTGATAGGGTACTCTTCAGCCTTTTAGTTCCCTGATGAGACATGGGCTTCACCATTATCCCAGTGTTGTCAGATACTTTGCCAGTGTTATCAGCAGCAAAATCAAGATGTCATCATTCCCAAACCAAACCTGCCCTAGTAAATACTATTGTAAGTCTCTATTTGCTGCATATTTTCCTATATAATGTTATAGCCTAGGCATTTTTCCATCAGAAAATCCCTTTCTGCCTTAAGAAAGAAACCTAATTAATAAAAGGCTAATTGCTGAATTAATGTTTCTATATATGAGTTTTTCTCCAAAGTTATTTCACTGTAAATTATGCAGTACTTACTTGTTATTGTGAAGTTTGGATGATAACACAAATATTTATTTATTGATGGCAACCTTGCTCTCATTCATTATGAACTAAACGTCAGTTAGAAGTTCTATGCTGTATGAGATTTTCATGAGGTGTGATTAATCTCATCAAAGCCTACAATCTGTTAATTTCCAAAGAAAATAAGCATGATTAGAGAGTATCTGTCAAGAAGTTTTTTAGCAGGAATTTAAGCTGTGCCTGAACATTTGGGCTCAAATAGTCTGAAGCTTTTGAACTTGAACAAATTATCGCTAGCACTAATTCTTGTTTATTAAAGCATTTTTTCACACTTCACAACACTAGCTGATGTTCCAAACTTCAGTCAACTCAGGTGCAAAATCAGATTGGTCTGTTAATAGGTGATGTTGCAGAAATCAGTGGAGTTAGTATTGATTGGATGTTACTGATATTAAAATTTAGATGGGATATATTTTGTGTTTCCTGTCTTCCCACCTCTATTGTTTGTCACGACTTCTTGGCTTAACAGGGCAAAGTTCCTAGAATCAAATCTGAGAAAGGTGTTATTCAGTAACCATTGAGAACTGCCATGAAAACGTCTGGTTCTTCTAGCTTCTGGTTAACGTACAGCCCCCCCTGCCACACACGCACTGCCCACTCCCATTCTTCTGCTCTTTTTCTGCTCCCTGTGCATCTGCTGCTGCTTCATCGTCTACTGCTTTGTAATCTTCTGCTTCATCTTCTTCTGGTGCTGCTTCTGCTTTTTCTTCTGCTTCTTTCACTTCTTCTGCTTTTTCTTCTGCTGCTTCTCCTCTTTCTCTGCCTCCTTTGTTTTCTCCTTTCTTATTCTCGTCCTTCTCCTTTTTCCGTCTTCTTCTAGTTCTTCCCCTTCTTCACCCTTCTACTCCTTTCTTTTTCTCCTTTTTAAAAAATATATTGGTAGAGGACCTGTGTTGATGGAGCAATCAAGACAATGAATATTAAACAGAAAATTATGGATGCAAGAAAGGTTTATGGGTTTAAAATTTGAAACGAATCAGTAGATCATATTCTAGTATTCCTTAGTCAATATTCAGAATTTAAGCACTTAATAATACAATCACCCAGTTTCATATTTCACAACTAACTGCTAATTAGGATGATTTGAGCAGGAATATTAGCACCAGGAACTGGAAGGTGTTTAAAATTACCCTTGAAAAATCATCTAGAAATACTTTTCTTTTCATAAGCCATTTAAGTTGGTCACTTCTGACACAAACCTGTGCCAAGTATTGTGATCCATAGCATATATATGTTACAATTATTAAGCACTAGAGAGGTCTTCATGGTAATTTAACAATTCATTATCCCACTGTAGATCCCTCTTAGGCAGTTAACTGACTGTGCATGTGGAATCTTGATCTGTTCAAACACAAAGTAAGATGGATTCACACCAGTGACCACTGATTGTGATAGAAGAAGATCTGCAAAAAAAAGATGGGGAAAATCTGTTGTTAGGATCCAGGATGCTTGACATCTGAAACCATATGTAGGGTGGACCACCAACAGCAGCAAAACAGCTGTTTTTCAGAGTGATGGTGGTTATACTTACCTGTCTAACAGCCCTGTAACAGATTAGAAGTGCAAGCAAAGCCAGTTACCATGCCTCATCCATGAATACAATAATCTTCCAGCTGAGATGACCATAGGCTTTCAATTGCTTTGATGTTTCAATCTGTGTTTGTTCATATTCTATTAACCATGCCACCTTCATGGGACATTGTATGGAAACAGAAATACCCGAGCTTCAAATGAGCTTGCTGTGATACTAAAAGCAATACTGCTATGTTAATATGGTGCTCTTAACTGCTCAGCTGGATAAATTAGCTATGTTACTTGGCCCCTGATGGGTGGGCTCATTTAGACTTGAGACAGAGGCATGGAATTAGTTTGGAATTGCTGTTCATAAATTTCTGAATAACCAATACCAGGTATATACACTTCTATTTCATAATTTTTGCTCTTGACTCCACTTTGATTTAGTTCACCTGCCTCCTAGTTATACCAGTGTAAGATTATCTTATTCTGCAATACAGCGTTCTGTACATGGACTACTTTAGGAATAGCTGTTGTGTTTTGTATGTACACCCTATGTTATTCTAACTCAGATTTCAAATGTAGATCATCCTTAACAGTCAAAATCTCAGAAGTATGTAAACTTTTGAAAGGTAAAAAATTTAAATCAGAAAATTATAAAATGATCAATAATTCTGGCAGCTACATTGAAAATATGAGTAGAAACTGTTATGTGTGATTGTTATTCCTAATGGATGATTAATAAAAACATGGGTTTAGAAGTAAACTGGAGTTTAGCGTTTGTGCTTGCTAAAAAATGCAGAAGAAACAGAAGAATCCTGGAGTGTGCTAGGTATTCATTAGAGTCACTGTAAAGTATGGGTCATTGGTTGGTTGCCAACCAATGGTGATAGGCAAATCTGTAAGTAATGCATTTAATATCAGCCCACTGGAAAATGTACAACCATATTATTTCTGATAAGGTTTGTCACAAAAAAAATGTTAGTATGTCCTCCACACTAATGCAAGTTCTGCAACTGAGCTCTGCCTCTATTTGCAGTTCTCTTAGCACCAGGTATTACCAGGTAAGAGTGTAGGCTATGATGAACAAAGACACTATATCTGGCAGAGGGATTTTGATCCAAAACCCATTGAAAACTGGGAGAGGATATAAAACACAAGATAGTTGTATGTTGTCTGGCTTGCAGCCCAGAAAGCCAACCGTATCCTCAACTGCATCAAGACAAGGCGATCAGCAGGTTGAAGGAGGTGATCCTGCCCCTCTACTCTGCTCTCACGAGACCTCATTTGGAGTATTGTGTGCAGTTCTGGTGTCCTCAACATAAAAATGACATGGAACTGTTGGAACAAGTCCAGAGAAGGGCCACGAGGATGATCAGGGGACTGGAGCACCTCCTGTATGAAGGCAGGCTGAGAAAGTTGGGGCTGTTCAGCCTGGAGAAAAGAAGGCTGCGTGGAGACCTCATATCAGCCTTCCAGTATCTGAAGGGGGCATATAGGGATGCTGGGGAGGGACTCTTCACTAGGGGCTGTAGTGATAGGACAAGGGGTAATGGGTTAAAACTTAAACAGGGGAAGTTTGGATTGGATATAAGGAAGAAGTTCTTTCCTGTAAGGGTGGTGAGGCACTGGAATGGGTTGCCCAGGGAAGCTGTGAATGCTCCATTCCTGGCAGTGTTCAAGGTCAGGTTGGACGAAGCCTTGGGTGACATGGTTTAGTGTGAGGTGTCCCTGCCCATGGCAGGGGGGTTGGAACTAGATGATCTTAAGGTCCTTCCTAACCCTAACTATTCTGATTCTATGATTCTATGTCTGATATTGGCCATCACTGGAAGCAGCACACTAGAGTAAGTGTACCTTTGGTTTGTTGTGATATACAATTCTTATACTTGTGAGTGAGCCAGTGTAAGTAGGATTGATTCAGGCATACATTTCAGATAGTGAGTAGGGAAAATTGAGGGCAACTATGCAAAGGCAAACAAGAACAGAAATGATGCAAGTGCCACCACAGGGCACTGTAACTTTGGCCAGGATTTGCAAAGTGGATTTTTCTGGCTGCCTGTTTTTCTCAAGTAAAATTGGAAACTTTTATCTCAAGTTCCAGACACATGATTCAAGTCAAATTAAAGGGCAGCAGCTTGAAAGAGTTTGCGTTTTGTGTGCTTCTTCCCCAGGCTGCATTTTCAGTGGTGTGATGCCTATAGAGGGTGGAAACCTGGAACAAAGTCCCAGCTCTGCTCCTGATAGAAAGCAGAAGGCACAGCAGAAAGCACGTGATTGTACAGAGCCTTGTACATAGAGATGAGGCAATAAAAGATTTCATTTGTACAAAGTCGTAGGCTTATCAAAGCAAGTAAGAAAATCAGATTTTCGGTTAAGAACTGCACTGGGGCTCTTCAGTTTCTAATGTCTTTTCCTTGCTGGGGTAGCTCTGATCAAGTTAATTAGATGGTACCCTACCTGGGAGGAGGTGTTTGTTTTCAAATCCAGCCTGAATGTCTCCTACTTTGTCTTTTGAAACCACAAGGATACACTTGCTAATGTAAAGTCATCAAAAGGGCAACTTTCTCTTGTTTTATGCTTCAGAAAACAACCAGCACAATAGGGCTCCATCTCAAGAAGCTGTTTCTGGATTCCTAATTATTGTAAAATACCGTGGGCTGTGTATTACCTGCTGAAGCAGAAACAAACCTTTCCTTTGCCAAGTAGAAGGACATTTGGCAGATGTCTCTTTTTGCCATTGGCCTAAGACAGGACACAGTACAGGCTCTAGGATAATGTGTTTACGTACACAAGACATCTTTAAACAGAGGTGGAGTGTTCCGAATGGCACACAAGCAATTACACTTGCAGAGCTCTCAGATCACTACATCCAGCTCTGTTGTTAGGAAACTGCTCTTATTTTTTCCCTCATTTTTGACGTATGTCTCTGCTCCTAGCTCACTGCCTATTTCCATTTTTACTGCACCCTGTGGCTTCATTTGACAAAGCCTCTGCCTCAGCTTTGGTTGCCCTGAACGTGCAGGGCTTATGTTTTCACTGCTGAGCATGGCGTATTTCAGGGATGGAAGTATGCCTTAGCACCGCTTTTTGTGTCAGGCTGATGATGGCTAATGGCCCCTGGAGTCAGACCCTGATACTGTCAAGTTAAAATACACCAAGCAACTACATACTCTTGCACTGTGTCATACCAAACTTTCTGGTTTATTACATACATGAGGGAAGTTGTTCAACAATAATACATGGCGAAAACACACACAGAAAAAGGACCAGGCTAGAAAGCAGATCCTTTACCCTCATTTCACAGTCAGAAAAACCAAACTGCCCTGGTCTTTAAGTCAGGACATTGCAGTCCAGTGATTAAGCTGCAAATACAGTAGCAAAAGAAGGCAGAGAGAGATCATCATGGAATTTTTTGCTCAGAGCTTCTCATACATGTTGCTAAAGGAAAGCTGTAATAGCTGGAAATACCTCCTATATATTTTGTGGCTTCTATGAAGAATTTTGCTTCTCTAACACAAAACTTACAAGTGAGTAAGGAATCAGTGTCACCTCTGATGCTTTTTCTTAGAACAACTATTTCAGTGAAAAACGCTCCCAACTGCTTTCAGATTAAGCTTGGCTGGAGCATCTGCCAGCTCCCCAGGACAGGTAGTAAACTCCCAGATCCATTCTTACAGCTGTGCCCCAGCTGCTCACTGCCATTAGGATGGGAGAAACAGCCAGATAGCACTGCATTCTGATCTGTCTTTATGCGCCAGCACTGGAACAGGACATGAGAGGCCATGGGGAGAACTCGTATAAAATGAGCAGATCAGCTGTACATAGCTCGGGGAACTTGCTGATGGCAGGAGACTGGCAAGGAGGCTTTTTGAGCCAGTTTTACAGCTCCATAAAACATTTTTTGTCATTGACGTGCTTGTGGACTGAGTGGTCTCTCTCTAGAAGGAGTGTACTGTTAGGCTTAAGAATTCATAATACTTAAATGTTGACACTTAGAAAGATTTTCCTTGTAAAAAGAAAAGGATTTTTTATTATTTATTTTTTAAACTATTTTGGGCATTGACAGTGGGATGCGCCTTCATGAATACATACACAAGCTGACAAATAGAGAAATCAAAGTTAGGCCTTTAACTAAATGAACCCAAATATAATGCAAATTGTGCTCTGGAAATTAGCAAAGGAAGTTTAAAATGAACAGAAACAAATAAGGAAGAAAACAAGTAGGTTGTCTTTTTTGGAGGGGGGGGGCATAATGTATTGTCAACCTCACGCATACACAAAACTAAGTCCCTACAGCACAGCGTGTACAGGCCCTAGGCAAATGCACAGGTGGTCTGAAACCCAGAGTGGGAGCCTGCTGGTAGAAATTAGCATGTACTGTTGCTTTTCTGACTGGCTGGGAAAAGTCTTTCAGCTGGAAATGGTTTAAGAATACCCCTCAGTTTGCCAGAGGTTATACATTTAGCCCTACAGAGTGGATGGCCTTGGTATTTTGGGCTCAGAGGGTTAAAAAGGATGAATTATGAGATGCCTTCCATAAAAGCCCGTATGGCCAAGCATTTATTCAGTGCCCTTGTTCCCTTGTTTTCTGGGGCAGCCAAAGAAGTCAGCATGCCTCAGAGACTGGCTTGGCAACTGACTAGTGTGAGGCATTGAAAAAAGAAATGAAGTGCAAGGCAGCAGCGTAATCATGTTAGATTTGTCACTGTTGAAGTCCAGATGGCTGTAAGATACTGAGCTATGAAAT